ATATTTAGCAGTAATATTTGTTAAATCTACATGTGTGATTATTTCTCTTTGAATTCTCTCCTTTAATTAAAATTTTATCTGTTAGTAATTTTTTTAAACTTGTAAATCTTATAAATCACAGATATTAACTGTAAGTCTAATAATCGTATTGGAAATATTGCTTTATTATTAGCTATTGTTTTAACATTAAAATATGTGTCACAAAATAATATATTTTTATGAATATTAAGTTCACTAGATTTAAGAATAATAATTATTTAAGTTCTTGTTGAATGATTACTCTTCAACTCCTTCAATAGGCGGATTTTTATATAAATCAATTTAACTTATCAATTAAAATCAGTATATTAGTTTATTTATTATTAGAAGTTTAGTTATTACTAACAGCTTATTTATTAGTTTATATATTTATTTTTGGTTTCAGGACTAACAATGCTTATGTCATTGGGTTGGAATTTTGAATTTAATTTAAAGAAAGTTATTGCTTTATCTAATAATTAGAATTTTATCAATCAGATTTTACAAATTAATATTTTTTTGATTTGTTAACCTAAACATCATTTAAAATATTATTAATTTATATGTGAAAAGTCTGTTATTCATAATAATATAATTCACAATCTATTCCCTTAAAAAAGTATTATAAATATATATACATCTAACTTTTAGATGGCAACTTTAAGAATTAACTAGGAAAGTATATGTTTTAGCAGGATGTTATTCAAGAGAAATATATATTTTCAGAAATTTGAATGCTTCAGTTATATAAATAAATTTTGTTTTTTTTCATATTATGTTTTTACTACAATAACAATTAGTTATTTAATTCAATTCTATCATTATATATTAACTGATCATTTTAATATTTTTATATTGAATATATTAAACGAAAACATTTGAGTTATATTAGGAGGACCGATAAGATTATTAGGATATATATATATACATATATCAACTGAAACAAAACATATTTATAAAATTTTGTTTTTTTTTTACTGTCATAGAGAATATCTAATATTATCACCTATGGATTGCTTTTTAATTAATAAACTTTTAAATAATACTACTTAAAACATTCAATCATCTGAATTTATTGGAGGATTTTCTTTATATAAAAATTTATAAAATTATTTAAAATTCAATCAATTTACATAAAATAATAAATTAGTTATAATATTAAAAAAATTATTTTTTATTTAATTATTTAATATTTGATCATTTAAATTGGTTATAATAGATTGTTAAGTTGATGGTGTAAGGGAGATAACTTTACCCTCAAATATCCATTTAAATTAAAAACTTAAATTCATTAATTCATAAAGTAGTTCAATAGCAATTTATATATTACTAAATTTCAAAAAAATGTGATATTCTTAATAAACTCATATATTGATATAGGAAAGCAACCATTCAAACTAAAAATTAGTGCTTTTTGTGTTCAACATATATCTTTTAATTCAGTGAAGTAAAACTTCATTCATTCTTATTACTTACAAAAAAAATTGGATAATATATATATAATTGGTTTCAACAAATAATTAATATTAATAATAAAATAAGATAAAATATTATTAATTACACAGTATATATGAGGTAGAAACTTTGTAGCCGTTGTGTGAGTATTGCCAGAAATAAATCTCGCTAGAGTAACTGTAGAATACGGATTTATTTAGTATATTTTTTCGGTTTATTTACATATCGATGTCATGCATTTATTACGGTGGATATGCCTAAATAAATAACGAAAAAACATTTACTTATTATTTATGTGAAGTAGTGTAAAAAATTACCTTTTAGCTAAATTCAAGCTGTATGTAGGGTGTTCCAAGTTTTGTTACTGAATTTATGAACTCTGCTTTATGTAAATGCTGAACTTCTTTACTCTGTTAACCTTATATTTATTATTTGAAAGAGTAATTATGTCAAGTTATCAAACGAGTACTGTGATTTATTTAATTTGGTCATATGCCTTCCTAAATTAAACAAATTAAAATTTTCCCAATTAGTTGAAAAATATATTTAGTCAAATAAATTATTGCATAAAATGATAAAAATACATAGAAATACTTAGAATTAAACATTGTTTATAAGTTTTCTTCAGATTAATCCAGAAATATATATGTGATGATGTGTCTGCCGAAATCAAACATTACAATGTTTGATATGCCGCTCCCAATCAATTAACTGGTCGATTAAAAGAGATATATAAAAGTTATTTTCTGATATTATAAGTATAAATATATATTTACTTGACATATTGTACTGCAATACCACTGCTTTCGGCACCCAGTACAAATATATTTTGCTTCTTGTACCGTACACACTTGGCAGGCATAATAATCATGTTTTTGGGAGCTTTTCGAATGGTAGTCATCAGTTTCCTTCTGGTAGCTATATTCACCACCATGATTGATTGCCAAGCCTTTAGATTCTGGTGTATGTCGATTTGCGCTAAATGTACCCGAGTTGTTTGGAAGATTTTCAAAATTACTTTTGTCATTAAGTGCAATTGCTTCACAAATTTCGTTGTGCTGTTTTCCATCTTTTACCTATTCGATTAAGAAGCAACCAATTTTTTAATAACACATATTTCAAAACTTTTAGAAAACGGAACACCCCTACCTTATCTGAACAACCACGATGTTTGAATATTTGACCTTCGTAGTCATGAGAAGGGTCTTCAAGTCCCATGTCCAATAGTATGGGGTGTTCTGAACTCTTCTGATTTGCAATATGTTCCGCAGTTTCTGACAATGCTGGCGTTTTTTCCATTTCGATATTTGTCCCACTATTTGTTACATTTTGAGTATTTGACGATTCTTTGCTTGATGAAACGGTACTATATCATTTTCAATAAAAATATTAGCTTATAATAGTTAAATTTCATTAGAATTTGTCGTCATAAATCCAAAGAGTATATGTTATGGCTAAAGATATACACATTAATGACAACCTAATATTAAATTTGTCATTTAATAACGATAAAAAGAGATCAGTCCGTGGTGCACAGTCTGTACATAACGAAGTAATTAATCTCGGTTCATCCAGTTGCGAATGCAGGATATTTTTTCTTTAATGTGATGAGCACATATGAAAAAATTCAGTTCACTTGTGGTTTTTAAGTAGTTTTATAAATAGTAATAGATATTACAATATTATACAACACAGAGAAACAAAAAGGTACTTCGAATAACACAAAATATTCAATGTTCGGTTTATAAATAGAAGGACTACATCTATATATCATCTATTTAAAATATTGTCAATTTTTAATTATTTGTCTTTTTATTTTCTAATTTACTTCTTTTGTTTATATAATCATTTAATTATATAACATCTGTGTTTTTGGTTTTCTTAGGACAGAACACTAATCTATCCAAAGCCTTCACATATATTCACGAATGTAGCTCAAATAACTTAATGTTCAGTATTTCTTGTTTTATACTAGAAAATTATTTTCAAACTGCTCCATCAGCTGGGCAAATTACATTTCACCAAGGCAGAAAGTTACATTAAAATCAATTTTATAGTCATGATCAAAAATACCAACTAAAAATAGTAAAGGTATCGTAATAATACCATTTTTTTAATGGTATTGAGTTTGATGTTCACCCAGAAAGAACAACAAGAGCTCTAGTTAAAAATGAGTTCTAAGCCAGCGCTATCAACAATCTAGTTAATAGATATGAAACGCTACAGCCCATGTACAAGGTTTAACGGATTGAAATTATGTCAAGATTAAATATTTCTTAATAATTCCAAATCATAAAAATCCAACCGTACCTGTACCTGAATCACAAATACGTTATGGTTCAATATAATATACAAATTGATAAAAGTATGGCTATACAAATTCATGTCCCAAGCAGTTTGCTGTCATCGCTAGAATCTTTTAATCTTTTAAATCGACTTATAGCATTCATATTAGATAAATACTTTTAAACAGCTCAGTTGGAAATACCATAGAAACACCACATGGTGTATCGGAAACGAAAACTTTCGCAAAAATCTCGAGATACAAATTGTATCGTCAAAATTGAAAAAAATATCGCCTAAGAATATCAAAACAACCAATCATAAGTAAACAGAAACCTACTCGATTTAAACAATATCTCACTTTGTACTCCTTAATAATAAATATGCCCGAAACTGTTATGGAACTCATGGTAGTGGATATACTTTTTCCACCAAACTATTAGTTATTTAATTATACGTTCAATAAATAAAAATTAAATTCAAAAAGTGAAAGCTTTCGAACTTTCTAGTGAGCGGACGTGTTTTTAAGCCGGTCTCGGAAAAATTTAAATTTCAGTATAAAAACAAGTAAATAACAATCACTTTTAAAAGAATAACTTTTGTTATTAATACAAAAATAAAAAACAGAAAATTCTCGGACAAAAAAACAATTCCTAAAAGTTAAAAGTGCATAAAATATTAATTTGAAAATAGCGCGCGCTTTTTCGATTTTTGTTGATTTTTGCACAACTTTAATATTAAAAAAAACTCAAATAGCTGACAGAGACAGCAAATTATTTTCTAAAGCTCAAAATAAAAAAAGTGAGCAAGCATTCAAACAAAATATCAGTGCGGTTTTGTGAATATATAAACAAAACAAAAAAGTGCTGATAGAGACAGCTAGTATTATTACAAACGTGTTCCACAAAAGCTGTAATTGGAAGCCCGCAATTCATCACAACACAACACAACATCAAAACCAACATACGTGCTAACATTGGATTTTGGAATTTAAAGATATTAATTTTATTAATTATTATTATTTTTTTATTATTATTATTATTATTATTATTATTCTTAGTATAATTATTATTCTTTTTTCTCTCTTTTTGTTTTTATTTATATGTTTAATTATTAGAATATAAAGTATAATATTTTACACATTTTCATTTTATTTTTACATCTTTATTTTTATTTTTATTATTTTCTTCTTTATATTAATTTAATTTAATTTTACTTATATTTATATAGTTAATTTAATTTAATATCAATTAATATTAATAGTAGTTAAATTAAGTAAATCTTATAGCACACCTGCTATTTGCATATATAACCACGTATGCAAATGAGCAATCAAAATCTAGTAAGAAGACATACGATAAGCATTCCAAGAAAACGTAATGCTTATTTGGTAATAGACGCATCGAATACGTTGCCTCTGAAAACTACACAAACTGACAAAAGCTTGTCAAACATTGCACCTTCAGCAACTTCGCTTGCATTTTCCGACTTAGCGAGTCCAAAAAATAAAATAAAGGTCCAAACAGGCATGGAACGCTATGTAAATATGAAACGCAAACTTAGTCCTCAAAAAAGCAATTCAAAAGGTGCTAAAATAACTAAAACCATCAAAGATAGTGCAACTACAAACATTCTTTCTAGCAATAGATTTGCTGAATTAGCTGAAACTACAGATGAAGCTAATCAGCCTATTAACAAAAATTTTAAACCGCCTCCAATCTACCTGCGAGAACGCAGCTCAAATAACCTAGTTGCAAATCTGGCACGTCTGATTGGAAATAATACGTTTCATATTGTTCCTATAAGTAGGGCAATATACACGAAACCAAAATCCAAATCGACTCTGAAAACAAATTTAGGGTCATAACCAAATATTTCGAAGACAACAAAAAAATTACTACACATACCAACTAAAGAGTAGTAAAGACCTTGTTGTCGTTATTAAAGGTATTGAATCAGATGTAGAACCCATTGAGATAACAAATGCCCTAAGCGAAAAAGGCTTTAGCGCTATAGCAGTTATAAATATTGCTAACAAAGATAAAATCCAACAACCTATGTTTAAAGTTGAATTTCACCCGGAAACTTCTAAGCTTAAAAAAATGAGAGCCATCTCATTTACAACCTAAAGTATTTACTTCACCGCAATTAACGTTGAGGAGCCCAACAAAAGAAATGGTCTAGTGCAATGCACAAACTGCTAAGAGTATGGCCATACTAAGTCATATTGCACTCTTCGAACAGTGTGCGTAGCTTGTGGCGAGCTTCACCATAACATAGTTCCGAATGCGATAAAAAATCAATAAAGGACACCAAAACCTAAAAATGTAGCAACTGCAGTGGAAATCACACTGCAAACTACAGAGGCTGTCCTATTTATAGGACATCCTACAAGAAGCAACCCCATTAAATTAGTTGAAGTACCCCAACCTTTAACTTCTAAGTCTGTTACACCAGGTGTTTCATATGCTGATGTCGTTAAATCTGACAATCAACAAGGCCCTCCAGTTCAAAGTAATAGTTTGGAAATCATGATTTCCAGTCTCACCCAGAGCTTAAATCAGTTGTACATGGAATGCAAACGGCTTAAGCCAACATAAACTTGAACTCACAAATTTCATGTCCCGAGAAAATGTGGATGTAATGCTTTGCTTAGAAACACATCTAACAAACAAAAATTTCTTTTCTATTCCTGGTTATTTATTTTATAAAACCAATCACCCAGATGGCAAAGCACATGGTGGTACAGTTATTTTGATACGAAGGCGTCTAAAACACAATTTTCTAGGTACATATGCTCATAATCATATGCAAGCCACATCAATATGCCTTAAGCACAAAGGAAAAAATTTAACTTTATCGGCAGTTTACTGTCCTCCCCGCTTCAACATTACTGAGACCCAATTTACGGATTACTTCTTAACTCTAGGTTAAAGATTTCTTGCGGCGGGAGACTACAACGCCAAGCATACGTATTGGGGTTCACGACTCTGTAATCCAAATGGAAAACAGCTCTACAATTCTATTCTAAATAGAAAAAATGCACTATACGTAAACTCTCCTGGGCAGCCAACATATTGACCTGCTGATAACTATAAAATATCAGACCTAATAGACTTCACCGTGATCAAAGGCATAAGCAAAAATTTTATCTTAACATACACAAGCTGCGATTTGTCTTCTGATCATTCTCCAGTTACATTTTGCTTACTTGATGGTCCTCAGTTAAATGACTGTTCCTATAGCCTTACAAGTCCTAGAACAAACTGGCTCAAATTTAAAAAGTACATTAAGTCACACATACACACAAATTACAAGATAAAATGTAAGTCTCAGCAACCTCGGTTTTAAATTCAATTTTGATTTCAGCAGTAGAAAACTCTACCCCCAAAGACAATAAAATTTACAGATTCAATAAAGTATTTACAAATAGTGACATAGAGAATTTAGTTTTACAAAAACGTAGATTAAGGCGAGAATTACAAAAATCTAGGTCCCCTTTAGCGAAAAACTTATTTAAGGAAGCCCAAAGGAGACTTAGTTCTGCATTAAGCAAGGAAACCAAAGTCAGGCAATATAATTATATTCAAAGCCTATGTCCAAATGGCAAAAACCATTCATCCTTGTGGAATGCTAGCAAAGGTATAAATTCCCCCATAGAATCCGATTCTCCAATAAAAAAATCTCTCGGAAACCGGGCGCGAAGTGATGAAAAAAAATCTAACATTTTTGCTGATTACCTAAAAGAGGTGTTTCAACCAAATCCTGCAACAGGACAATATGATTTTCACACTCAAAATCTACATGCACCATCTATTGACATGAATATCACGGCCAATGATCTTGTTCAAATAATCACAAACAAGTTAGATTGCAAAAAGGCACCGGGATATGATAATATCTCACCCATCATGATAAAAAACTTACCCCTTTTGGCCATACATTTTATCACAAGACTTTTTAATGCCATTATTAAATTTGGCTTTTACCCAACAGAGTGGAAAACATTCATGATTATTATGATTCATAAATCAGGTAAAGATCCCACGCTTGCCTCTTCATACAGGTCAATAAGCTTACTGCCATGCCTTTCTAAACTCTTTGAAAGAGCACTGCTTTTAAAGCTAAAACTGTTCCTTGACGTTCAAAACTTAATACCCTCCCACCAGTTTGATTTTAGGGAAAAACATGGAACTATTGAGCGAGTGAATCGTATAACGAATGAGCTCAGAGAACATCGTTCCGCGGTATTCCCCGATGTTAAACAAGCATTTGATAAAGTATGGCATAATGGACTCATGTATAAGATACGCTGTTCATTACCTGAAAATGTTCACTCAGTTTTAGAATCGTATCTGCATAATAGAAGTTTTAAAGTGAAATGTAAATCATATACTTCTAATAATATCCCAATAGAAGCTGGCGTTCCACAAGGAAGTGTTCTTGGCCCTATCTTGTATGTACTTTACACATCTGATATCTCGATAAGTAGTTTATGTTGTCACCACAACGTTTGCCGATGATACGGCAATTTTATGCCGAAACAAAAACGCTGTGTTAGCTTCAAATCAACTTCAATCTCACTTATTTCGGGTGGAGAAATGGCTGTCAAAATGGCGAATTAAAATTAATGAACTAAAATGTAGACACGTCACTTTTACCTTAAATCGGAGTACGTCTCCAATAATTTCATTAAATAACATTCCCAA